AGCCCCGCCCCCCGTGCTGCTGCCGCCCCTGCAAGCGTGATAGGTCCTTCTGCTCCTCATCCTCATCCTGATCCTCATTCTCATCCTCTTCCTCATCCTCATCCTCATCCTCATCCTCATCCTCATCCTCATCCTCATCATCATCATCATCATCATCATCATCATCATCATCATCATCAGCATCAGCATCATCATCGTCATCATCATCGTCATCCTCATCCTCATCCTCCTCCTCATCCTCCTCATCCTCCTCATCCTCTTTTCTTGTCTTTCACCAACAACTAACAGTAGCCAACAACAACAACAACAACAACAACAACAACAACAACAGCAACAACGACAACAATAAGTTTAATATTGTTCGCTCTTATCTGCTCGCGTGTCATTCAATAAGCATATGCCAAGCCCTGGATCCCCGCCCTCTTGGTCTTCGATCGGTTCCTTTTTGGGGGGTATACTCATTCCCTGCCACGTGTGGTTGGTGAAGCCCTTGAAAACAAGAGGGTAACAGATAACGGGGGAGAATGAGGACGAGAAGCGTAAATTCTGCTTGAACCGCCAGGCAATATGTAGCGGGAGCGCGATTCCTGAGTGTCGAGGAGCGGCATCTGAATAAATTGTGAAGAAGTATCAGGCGGGAGCCTCGATTCGGCGGTAGGTTGCGAGGAAGTCCAAAGCGAGAGCGCAATTCTTCAATTAATTACGAGGAAGTATCAAGCGGGAGCAGCGACCCGGTGGTAAATTGCAAGGAAGAAGTCCCAAGCGAGAACACGATGTATCAATAAATTGTGAGGAAGTATCAAGCGGGAGCCGCTGTTGTTGTAAACCGGGGGCCAACAACACAGTTTGGCCCTCAAGACTTTCCCTACAACCACCACCACCACAACAACAGCAACAGCAACAACAACAACCACAACCACCACCACCACAACAACAACCACCACCACCGCAGCAGCAGCAGCAGCAGCAGCAACAACAACAACAACAACAATCAGTTTAAGACTGTTCGCTCCTACCTTCGACGAGCGCGTTCCACGACTCGCAAAGTAACTACTCGCAAATGGCCTGGATCCCCCGCGGGGAATCTTCGATAAATCACATCAATGCAGACATGTGTTGTTTCGGACTTGTGCGAGTAGGCACTTTGCGAATAGTGGAACGCGCTCGGCGATATGTGCTCGAGTGTCCGTCTACGTGTATTTCCCAAACCCTCGACACCCGCCCTCTCTGTCTTCGATCGTGCCCCTTTTGGGGGGTATATCTTTCTTCCCTGCAGGCCGGGCCCCGGCAAGCGGCGGGGCGGCCGCGGACCGTGGGCCTGGCCAGCGGCAGCGCTGATCGGCGGCAACCCGACCCCAAGAGGGACGGACAGGGGACCGACCACGACGACGACGACGACAACGACGGCGACGACGACGGCGGCGACGAACGACGACGACGACGAGCGAAAGCGAGAGCCAGAGCGAGAGCGAGAACGAGAGCGACAGCAGGGCCACGAAGGGCTGGAAGGGAGCCACGAAGGGCGACAGCGGGCCACGAAGGGCATGCAGATGGGGCCACGACGGGCGCGAACGAGCGGGGGCCACGAAGGGCAGATAATGCGGGGCCACAGAGGGCAACGACGGGGCCACAGGGCCACGTAGGGCAGCGAGGGGGCCACAAAGGGCGACAGCGGGGCCACGAAGGGCATGCATATGGGGCCACGACGGGCGCGAACGAGCGGGGGCCACGAAGGGCAGACGTATACTGGGCCGCAAGGGCAAGGACGGGGGCCACTGAGGGCAGCAACGGGGCCACGAAGGGCAGCGAGGGGGCCACGAAGGGCGACAGCGGGGCCACGAAGCGCATGCATATGGGGCCACGGCTGGCGCGAACAAGCGGGGGCCACGAAGGGCATATATATAGGGATATATATATATATATATATTATATATATATATATATATGTATATATATATATAGGCTCACGAAGGGCAGAGAGGGTGCAACGAAGGGCGGCCTCCTGGGGCACTCCTGGGACATCCTGGGGCCTCCTGGGGCTTCTTGTTATATCTGGGGCCTCCCAGGGCCACCAGGAAGCCCCAGGAGTGCACCCCGTGGCGTCGGACATCGTCGCGGCCGTGCAGCTTTCCGAGGCTTCCTGTCCAGTGGTACTCCACCGCTCGACACTTCCTGGCGACGCAGGCTCAGGAGGCCAAACATGGCAGTTACGGGATCAGTACTACCCGCTCGGATTACTAATATGAGGCGTGGCCCCACAGTGAGGGGAGCTCCCGCTCGAGATGTCCCCACAATTCAATCACAGACGAGGCGCCCGCCCCAAACTTCTTCCAGATTCAAGCCTCAGGAGCCCAAAAGTGACGACATTTACAGGATCTGTACGACCCGCTCGGACTACTGACATCAAGCGGGGCCCCATAGAGAGGAAGCTCCCGCTCGAGACGTCCTCGCAATTCAGTCACCGACGAGGCTCCCGCTCGAGACTTCCTTCAGATTCTGGCCTGGGAAAGCCGAAAGCGTCGATAGTTACAGGATCTGTATGGCCCGGATTATTGACATGAAGCAGCCCCCATGGGGGGGAAGCTCCCGCTTGAGACCTCCTGACAATTCAATCACACACAAGGCGCCCGCCCGAGACGTCCTCCAGATTCAGGCCTCAGGAGCCCAAAATTATAGGATCTGTACGTCCCGCTTGGATGAGTATCGTTTAACCGATCCCCATCCCCAGCAGCGTGGCCTGGGCCCCACTGGCCGATTTACCCCCCTAGATGGGGATGTAGGTCGTTCCCCTCGGGCTTCGAGGGGCGTATCCCCAACTGGGGTGGCAATCTGGTGGAGTTCTCGAAGGGGATGGGGATGGGGATGAGGATGGGTTTAACGATACTGATTGGATTACTGACATGAGACGGGGCCCCTTAGGAAGGGGAGCTCCCGCTCGAGACCTCCTCGCAATCCAGTCACAAGACGAGAAACTCGCTCGATACTTCTTCCAGATTCAGGGCTCAGGGGCCCAAAAGTGACGACAGCTACAGAATCTGCACTCGCCGTTCACTTATAATCGTGCTCACTTCTAATTGTGGTCGTTTCTGATTGTTCCTGGCCCCCTAGTGGCCAGGAAGAGGCCCAGGATAGAACAACTAGAAATGAAAGGATCTTGCCCAAAAAAAATCAAAGAACTTTCGAAGAATTAGAAATGAGCAATGTGTATGGCCCACTCGGATCACTGACATCAAGCGGGGCCCTATAGGGAGGGAGTTCCCGCTCGAGACAGCCTCACAGTTCAATCACAGACGAGGCGCCCGCCCGAAGCATCTTCCAAATTCAGGGCTCAGGAGCCCAAGAATGAAGACATTTACGGAATATGGATGACCCGCTCGGATTACTGATCTGATATGAAGCGGGGCCCTATAGGGAGGGAGCTCCCGCTTCTTCCCACCGCAATCACAGACGAGGCTCCCGCTCGAGACTTTATCTTGGTGATTGTGATGGCCCTACTTATGTGAGTTGTGAGTGTGATGATGCTGATGATCATGCTGGCGGTGGTGATGACGTTGATGATCATGCTAATGTTGACCATCATGATGATGCTGATGGCGGTTTTCACATCCTCCTCCTCATCATCATCGTCATCCTCCTCTTCCTCCCCCTCCTCTTCCTCCCTCTACCTCCCCCTGCTCCCCTCCTCCCCCTCATCCGCCCTGTACCACCCTCATCGGCAGCATGATCATAGTCGTTATCGTCATTATCACCATCGTCATTATCACTGCAACTGCTCATCCGCATCATCAGCAGCATCATCGGCATTATCATGTGCCTTTTCATCCTCAATTCAACCCCCAATCCTTCTCCCAACATCCTCACAATCACCATCTTCATCATCAGCATCATCGTCAGCATGAGCATCAGCATCATCAACATAATCAGCATGACAAACATCATCACCATAATCATCATATGCATGATCATATGCATATGTACCATCATCAACATCATCAGCAGCAGCATCATCCTCATCCTAGTCATCATCATTATCACCATCGTCATCATCAGCATCAACATCACCACCACCACCATCATCATCATCACCATCGTCATCGTCATCGTCATCATCATAATCAGTGTCATCGTCGTAATACATCACCATCGGCAGCAGCAATCAGACTGTCATGCAATTCGGCCATCCGCGCTCCCCCGAACTCTTTGCCTGCGGGCGGGGCGCATCTGTTGCCATGGGGGGTCCCCTGACTCCTGAAAAGACGTCATCTCTTGGAGAGCCGACTTGTTGCTTCCGCCTGCTTCCCCTGGCCCTCCGCCAGCTTCCGCCTGCGGAGCCGCCTTCGTTCTACTTTCGCCGGCTTCCGCCACCCTTCCGCCGAGGAAGAGATGCCCACTTCTCGGTGCCTCGAAGGCGAGGACCCTTGCTGGCGCGCCCCACACACACGGCCCCCGTTAGAGGACATGTTGAACCCGTGCGCACCCCATCCCCATGCAATCCCCATCTCCTCATCGGACGCAAGCCGGCCTGCCGGCTATCGTATCATGCCAGCGCGTGTGCCCGAAACAAGCAACTCGGACGGAAGCCATGCGGTGGGACCACGATGGGGTGCGGCCCTGTGAGGCAGGCCCCTTCTAGGGTGAGGCCATATACGGGGTCGGACCCTGTGAAGCGAGACCCTATGGGTTGGTCGGACCCAAGCGAGCGGGACCGTATGGAGTGGGACCCAGTGAGGCTGGATAGCATGGGGTCGGCCCTCATGGGCTGGACTCGATGGGATGGGACCTATTAGGGTGAGACCCCACGCACGGTTGGGACCCTTCGGTGCGGGACCCTGTGCATGGGACCGTATGGTCAGTGGGCTCTACGGGTGGGACCCCACGGGCAACACCCTGCGGGACTCCGATCGGCAGTGCCCAGAAACTCTGCGGACAAGAACAGCTCTGTGCAAACCAAACAAGAGTCCATGTCGTGCGAGCACCGCTTGGGGAATGATGTAGATCACGGGCCAGGGCGGTCCAGACAACGATGGAGTGCTGCCAGCTTTCGAGGCACGCTGAAAGAGTCTCTCTCAACATAGTCCAGCGCGTTGGCTGCCGGTCGGATTCCACAACGGCGAAGGACACCCTTCCGCCGGGTGCCGATCGGCGTCCCTCCTGGAGCCCCTGCCCGCGGGAGGCAACGACGGCCCGCCTCGGTGGCCGCCTCCTCCTGGTCGGAGGCCAGCCGGACGCTGGGCGACACCCCGACGGCTCGGCACGGAGAGCCGCAGGTGCGCGGAGCGGCGCCGATCACGGTTCCATCAGCTGGCCTCAGGACTGGGCCGGGCGCGGCCCCCGCCTCCCCGGCCTGCTGCCAGGGTGCCGGAGTGGCCGCGTCACTTCTTGCCCCCGCGCCTCTTGTCCGGGTCGACGAAGCTGAAGAGCAGGCGTTTGAGCGATGCATAGCCGCCGCCAGGTATCCTGCCAAGGACGGGGTCCAGGGCACTATCGATGGTTCGGAAGACGGCCTGCGTCCACGAGCTCATAATGTACCGCATGATCATGACGTTCCAGAAAAGGAGCGCAGAGAATGGAGCAGCGGTGGCTGTAAACACGCCGACGACGAGGACAGCCCCAAGCAACACCTCCACGTGGGCTCGGAACTGCATCAGCTGGTAGCGGGCCCTTGCCCCTGCCAGGGGGGAAAAGAAGTCCCCTATGCGGGCGGGCAGCCTCCTGTGGTTCGCACAGATCTGCCCAAAACTGAGCAGAGCCGTCGACGACGCAGGAATCAGGGCAAGGATGCGTATGGCCCAATGCAGCCCTGGTGTCAGCAGCGTTACCGACATCAGCGGCATCACGCCGACGTCGTCCAGGAGCACCGAGTGCAGGTACGCCGTGTCGAACTTGAGGCCGTACTTCGCGAGCAGCTCAAGGACAAAGGCACCCATGAGCACAACGAGCGCCTGGTACGCCGGGAAGGCGCCAGAGGCGCCCCCGACGGCCGTGGTCAGCGCCACGACGTAGGCCATGAAGCAGATGGTGGCCTTCGTCTCCATGACGGCCCACCGCGAGCCATCCGCAAACTGCGCGAGTATTCGCGGAGGGGGGCCCTGCGGGGCAGAGGACGAGCTGGTCGCGGCCCCGCCGCCGGTGGGGGTCGCGTGCGCCTCTGGCGGCTCGTAGCTCTCGTCGAAGCTCGGGTCAACGTTCCTCTTGTACCACTTCTTCTTGAACTTCAGGGCCTGCTTTCCGGTGGGCGGCGGGTAGAGTCCCTTCAGGTAGGACTGCCATCCTTCGTCGGACCAGTCGAAGTTCAGGAACTCCTGGTACTCCTCGGCCATGGGGCTGGGAGCCGAAGTACCAGCACTCCCCTGGCACGCCTCGCGCCCTTCAGCCAAAACGGCCACAAAAGAGGAGGGGCTTCGGGGGCCCTCCCTCCATGACTGGGGGGAAGAAAGGGGAGGACGAGGCGGGGCAGGAGAGAAGGAAGCGGAGCAGGCTGGTGAGCGCGGGAGCATCATGAGGACCAAGGTCGCAGGTGAGTCAGATTTTGTCGCTCCTCGAAACCGATGGCACCAGTCGTCAGAATTTGCGCGGCTGCTCTCAGAGAACTGCTTGCCTTCGCGACACGCTCACCCCCTCGAGCTGGTCGTCTCGCCCCTGGCCCCGCCTGCTGCCTGGGCTGCTTGGCTGTTGGTGAGAACCCACGCTCCTCAGGTTGAGGAGCAGCGCTGGGAGGAAACATCGAAGTTGAATTGGCGGTATGTCGCTGATACATCGACGATATGCCCCCGTCAGTGAATCCGCACGGTCCTGGGTGGGGAGGGCAGTCGGGCCCCAACCGACGAGACATGGGCGATTGGGGGTCGATGCATCCCCCCCTGAGCTTATCCCCCCCTAACATTGCCGCTGACAGGTATATTCCTGACCATACAGCCACCGTGCTGCTACAAAACACGTGCTCCGCGTCTCGACCTCGAACAGCCGCGTCTCGACCTCGAACATGTCCCCCGACCTAGATTTACGTAACGGCCCGAAAACGAGAGCCCGTCCTGAGCCCGAAGTAGTCCTTCCTTCAGCGGTTCGACTGTATCAGATTCCCCCCATGGCTCCTCGATGTTCGGCCCCTGCAATGCATTGCGAATGGTCCAGGAATCCTGCCCTCTCATGGCTCACAGCCTCTTAGGAATGATCTGAGTCCAGAGCGAATGCCGACACAAAAAACATCTCCGTCCAGCGCTCCCCCGATCCGTTTGCAACCAAGAAGCGGTGCTGCGCGGAAGATCGGGGCGGACGAGGAGGAGGAGGAGGAGGAGGACTACCTGACTGACTGACTGACCGGACTGACCGTCCGACTGACTGTACCATCGCTCGGTCAGTGGGGTTGGGGTCCGGCAGGGCGGGGCAGGCGGGGCTCGTGCCGTGATGTGGCAGAGGCAGGAGCTGGACGGGGGCGGAGGAGCAGGAGCAGGAGCAGGAGGAGGTCGAGGAGGAGGAGGAGGAGGACGACGACGACGAGGAGGAGACGGGGCGGCGGACTGGATGTGGGGGGCGAGCTGGCGCACCCTGTAGTCGGCGCGAGCGGGCCGCACCGCCCCAGGCTCGTCTGGACGAGGTGGAGGGCCGAATGGAATGGCCGACCGACGACGACGACGACGACGACGACGACGACGACGACGACGACCACGACGACGACGACGGCGGCGGCGGCGGCGGCGGCGGCGACGACGACGATTCATTGAGACTGTCGATGTGTTCGGGCAGCCAAGCATGGATTCTTTTCACCTCGCTCCCCAGCCAAGCACGCGGCAGCTGGAGGAGGTAGCATGAGGAGAAAGCGGATGCTGTAAGCCCGATGCAATCGCCCAAGCGGTGTTGGGAGTGCCATGACTGGGTGGTGTTCCCTATGTGTGCAAGGTGAGTCGGGGTAAACTACTCAGTGACGTGAGCGGGGCACAAGCAAGGCAGGTTTCAGGCGGGGGGGTGCTCTTGCTTTTGCTGTTGATGTGCACTGTCACATGTCGTGCTGCTGTCGATTATTGATCTGAAATTGAATTCATCTGTGTCTTTGTCGTTTTCGTCATCGTCGTCACCTTTGTTGCTGTCGCCAGTGTTCTCCATGCACTACTTGCGCTGCAGAATCCTGACACATGTTGAAGCAATTGGGGGGGCTGGGCTTCTGCTGAGTAGCCTTCGGTCGGGCATATCCCCCTGCAAGCGGATTTTGGACGAAAAATCAAAAATACCCCAAACATGTTCAAACATAGCCAAAAAATGCTCCCAAAATAGTCCCCAGACTGTTTTTGTTACTACTTCTGACTGTTCCTCCTGTAGAGGGACAGGCCCGACTTAAGAGTAGCCGCCCGTCGCCGCCTCGTCACCGCCCCGAGCGCTGGCTGGGCGTGCCGGATTGTGACCCGACGTGACGGCACCTTGTGCGGCACTTGCCGTTGCGGCTGTTTCCCGCGTGAGCCAGCGGCTTGGACGTAGCCGAAGCTGCAGCGTGGTGCTGCGTGTCGCCCGCGCTGGCGAAAAAAACGTCGCGTTACCTCTCCCCTCGGTTTGCTCGCATGCAGGGTCGCCGGGTGGGCGCTTGATTTTGGAAGCTGGTGCCCCCGCCGACGCGTCGTCGCCGCCTTGTACCCTGGCTGGCAATTCCTAATGTTCGCTGGGCGGGCGCCTGTCGCCGCCTCGTCGCCGCCGCGTGCGCTGGCTGGCGCAACTGTGCACATGCATGCATGCATACATTCACTTATATGAAGCGATATATATATATATACACGTGTGAATATACACATATAAACATATATGCATACACACGTGCATATATATGTGTGTGTGTATGTGCAGACATGCAAACATGCAAACGTCCATACATGTATACATGCATACATACATTCATGAGTACATACACACATGCATGCATATATACATACATGCATGCATGCATACATACATACGTGTATCTATTATATATATATAAAAACGAATATGCGCACATATAGACATTCAAAACTACATGCATATATAGGTATGCAAACCTATAAATACAAATATTTATATTTATATATATATATATATACAGACACGCATGCGTCCACGCATGCACACATGTATACCCACACGCATACATACATACACTCATACATGCATGCATGCATACAGACATGCATACGTACATACGTACATACGTACATATCTACATACATGTATGCATGCATGCATGCATGAATGCATGCATGAATGCATGCATACCTACGAACATACATTCAAACATATACGCCTACATACATGAATCCATACATTCAACAATGCATGCATGCATACATCCGCACATACAAACAATACACACATACCCTACATACATACATACATATACAAGTGGCACGTGTGTGCCCAGGCTCATACAACAAGCTGAAGGGGCGTTTGAAGCAGGAGTGACATGCAACAGCGAAGTCGCACTCGAGCGCAAGTGGGGTTGCCACACCTTGCGATGTGTGTACCAGGGCCCCCCCAGGAAGCCTCAGGAGGCCCGACTTGGATACCAGAAGAGGCTCCAGGAGGCCCCAGGATTGTGAGTGTTGTGTGTGTGTGATGTGTGCGTTGTGTGGTGCGTGCTTTTTGTGTGTTGTCGGTGTTGTGTGTGTGTGTATGTTATGTTTGTCTAGCGTGTGATGTGTTGGGCGTGATTTGTGTCTCTGTGTGTGCATGTAGTTCTGAAGCCCCAGGAGGCCCCAGGAGGCCCCAGGCGGCCTCAGCAGGCCCAGGAGAACTCCAGGAGGCTCCGAGGCGGGGTCTGGGGTACCAGAAGGTCCAGAAAGCCCCAGGAGGCCCCAGGAGGTTCCAGGAGGCCCCCAGGAGGCTCCGAGGAGGGGTCTGGGGCTCGATTTTGGGAGGATGTCTCAGGCGAAACCGCTATTCTCTGAGAGTCGGGGCCAAAATTATTGAAATTACCATGTGTGTTTGAAGGTTTTATGTTAAAATGTTGAAATTCCCATGTGTGTTTGCACCCTGGCGTCACGATCTGCGTGAGGGGTGCCACCGATTTTCAGAATTCCGAGGATGTCCCGAGCGAAACGGCCAGAAAAATCGCGGACGACGTGCGCATTAATCGCCTCTGAGCTCTACTCCCTCGGAGAGGTGCGTATGAGAATACACACATACATACATACAGACAGACATATATACCTACATACATATGATCCCAGTGCGACCCTACCTAGGAGTTGGAGCCCCTAGGAAAGCAGCATTAGTAGTAACAGTAAAGCTAAGCTAAAGCTAAGAAAAAGCTAAGCTAAAGCTAAGCTAACACTAAGCTAACGCTAAGCTAGAGCTAAGCTACAGCTAAGCTAGAGCTAAGCTGAAGCTAAGCTAAAGCTAAGCTGGAGCTAAACTGAAGCTAAGCTAAAGCTAAGCTAAAGCTGAAGCTAAGCTAGAGCTAAGCTAAACCTAAGCTGAAGCTAAGCTGACGCTAAGCTAGAGCTAAGCTAAAGCTAAGCTGCTAAGCTAAGCTGAAGCTAAGCTAAAAGCTAAGCTAAAGCTAAGCTAAAGCTAAGCTAAAGCTAAGCTAGAGCTAAGCTAAAGCTAAGCTAGAGCTAAGCTGAAGCTAAGCTAACGCTAAGCTAGAGCTAAGCTAAAGCTAAAAGCTAAGCTAGAGCTAAGCTAAAGCTAAGCTAGAGCTAAGCTGAAGCTAAGCTGAAGCTAAGCTAGAGCTAAGCAAAGCTAAGCTAGAGCTAAGCTGAAGCTAAGCTGAAGCTAAGCTAAAGCTAAGTTAAAGCTAAGCTGAAGCTAAGCTAAAGCTAAGCTAAAGCTAAGCTAAAGCTAAGCTAAAGCTAAGCTCAAGCTAAGCTAAAGCTAAGCTGAAGCTAAAGCTAAGCTGGGTCAACCCAGGGGGCGCGACTGGGGGAACCGCGGGGCGGGGACTGGGGCAACCGCCCGGGGCGCTTTACACTGCCCGGCCCCTTTTAAGCTAAGAGAGTAAGAACCCTCTAGGCAGAGCCTAGGTAGGGAAAAAACACATACATGCATGCGTACACATATACATACAAAAAGAAAGGTATAGACAAGCATGCATACAAACATACATACATACATACACGCGTACATACCTACATACATACCTACCTACCTACCTACCTACCTACATACATACATACATACATACATACCCACATACATACATGCATGTATGCATACGTACATACGTACATACGTACATACGTACATGCGTACATGCGTACACACATATATGTATATATATACACACACATACATACATACGTCCATGAGTACATGCATGCAAGCATACATATCTACATACACATACAGGCACACAAACATACAAGCATACGAGCATACAAACACACATACACACAGAAATACAAACACACATGCATGCATACATCATATATGTATACATATATAGATGCATACACATAGCCATACAGTCATGCATACATACATACGTAGATGCATACGTACATACGTACAAACACCTACATGCATGCATGATTGCATACATGCATGCATGCATACAGACATACATACATACCTTGTCGAAAGTGCTTATAAAGGAAAACCGT